ATGCGCTGCCTAGGCGATGCAATACACGAAATGGGCCGATGTACTTGGGTAGTAGTTTACTGCTACCCAAGTTAGTCACTACATGCTTTGGTAGATTAACCGTAGACAGTAGGACTAAGTCACCTTTATTAAATAAAAGAGTGTTTGCCCTTCCATTCTTGTCAGCGTTTTGCTTTTGCTTATCCACCGCTTCGGCGATGGAGTCTTGCACAAAACGGACTACCGTTTCACGAGCCAGTATGAACTCATCTGATGACTCGTTAGCTTCAGTGTGCTGTGAGCGCACTGCAGCAACATCAACCTTTTCTTCAGTGAGGGCTTCCGCACTCTCACTGGGATAATCTTCTTCAGTGAGGGCTTCCGCACTCTCACTGGCATCATCTTCTTCAATATCGATGTTATCGATATCGGCATCAAACGCAATGACCTCTTCGTCAGAGCGTGATGAGCGTGAACCAAATCGGTTTTTGCTCGCGCGAATCCCTCCCCCCCTTAAACCAGAGTTACACTCTAGTAAGGTGGGTACACGCGGATGGCGCAAGCCATTCACGTAAAACGGTGTATGTGTCGTGGACGCATGCACCGAGTTGTTAATGGCAAACTCTACCATTGGCAAAAACTCACTCCAACTCTTAAAGGAGTGTACGTATCCTCGAAGTATCTCTTCAAGGACACGATTGGCACGTTCCGTCTGACCATCTGACTCTGGATGATCAGATGTCGACATCTTCAAGCGCGTTCCGAGTGATTTGAACACGGAACGCCAGAAATCAGCCGTGAATCGTGGATCTCTGTCTGATACGAGTTCACGGGGCAACCCATGAAGTCGGAAGATGGTGTCAATAAAGACACAAGCACAGCCACTTGCCGTGATTGTCTCTGGTACAGCCACAAGGTGTACCATTTTGCTGAATCTGTCAACAAATACGAGAATACCCGTATTCCCGCGTGCGTCTTTGGGTAACCCGAAGACGAAATCCATTGAGATGGATTCCCAGCACTCAGCCGGAACCGGTAGAGGCTGTAAAGGTGCACGCAGTGAAGGACTTGACTTCACTCGTTGACAGACTTCGCATGCGCGAACATACTTTCGCACAAACTGATACTGGCGGGGCCAGTAAAAGTCTCGACTTACCGTGAGATATGTTTTCACTCGGCCACGATGTCCTCCTATAGGAGCATCGTGATACTCGAACATGATCCGCAAACGCAGATCAGTATCATCTGGAATGACAACACGTGGTGTGTCACCAGAAACGGCTGTATAGTACAGTAAACCGTTACGAGTAGTGTATCGATCTGATGCAGATCGATACGCAGACGACAATCGTTTCAACGATTCTCGAGATGGTTGGGAGAGATGTGTCAACAACTTCACAATCTCACCATCTTGGGCGTATGCCCGCCTCACATCATCATACAACGTTGTAGATGGGACTGAGGACGTCATAACCGCAACAGTGACTGTCTCACTGTTGGGTTTCATGACTGTTTCAAAGTCGGGACGACGTGACAGTGCGTCAGCGACGACATTAAGTCGTCCTGGTATGTATATCGACCGTAAAGGTGTATTCTGCAAAGAATGACAACCACCGCGCCATTCGTTGTGAAAGGTGCGGGCTGTTCACTGCCGTGCGTAATGACGCATGGTCAGTGTAAAAAACGAAGGGTCTATCTCCTAATAGATAGACTCTGAACTTCGCGAGTGCATACTTCATGGCAAGGAGTTCCTTGTCATGCACTGGATAGTTCCGCTCAGCTGGTTGCAGCTGACGCGACTGATAGCAGACGACGCGTTCAACGCCTTCAAGATCGTACTGCATTAATGCACAGCCGATTGCGAAATCGCTGGCATCACAGACCACATGGAATGGCCTGTCCTGATCGGCTATTGCTAGGACTGGGGATTGTATCAAGCTCTGCTTGATACCATCAAAGGAGCGCTGACATTCAGCGTTCCATAACCACCTCTCGTTCTTTTTCAACAAACGAGAGAGGTGCACAGTCATCTCGGCGTAATTGCGTGAATACTTATGCAAATACGCCGCTAGCCCAAGGAATTTTCGAAGACCTTTGACATCAACCGGCACAGGCCAGTCGGTGGTCGCCTTGATCTTTTCGGGATCAGGACGTACACCGTTCTTACCAACGCACATAAACCCAAGAAGTGGTATTTCGCTTGCTGCAAATATACACTTCTTGAGGTTTGCATACAATTGATGCTTTCGCATGATTGTAAGAACCTGTCGGACGTGGTACCTGTGAACCTCAACGTCCGACTTTCCATCCATAGCTCGACTATGGATGAATACGTCATCGAAATAACTCGGCGCGAATTCTCGTACTGGTCTCAACAGATGTGATACACATCTGTTGAACGTGGCAGGGGCATTACTAAGCCCTTGTGGCATTACTAGCCATTCCCAGAGCATGCCGCTAGGCGTGCTAACTGCGGTATAGGATATATCCCGTTCCCGCATAGGGATTTGATAGAAGCCATCCATCAAATCCATCGACGAAAAGATGGTACTCTTTGACATACCATCAATGATTACGTCCTTCCTCGGTATCGGCGTCTGAGCCGGTACCGTTGCAGCGTTCAATTTGTTGAACGCGTGCACTATTCGCCACCCTCCTGTTGCTTTTCGCACACAGAAGGTCGGAGAGCTATGTGGGGAAGTTGATTCCCTCACATGGCCCGCAGCTAAACGATCGGCAAAGAACTTGTCGATCGCAAGTACTTGTTCACGAGGCAGTGGCCACTGCTTCATGACACAGTACTTCGAGCCTGGTTTAAGCTCGACCTCGTGTCGAATACCTTTATCCTTCGGTAATTCGCACGGAACAGTTTCAGGGAATACATCCTTGAATTCAACCAAATCTTCGTAGATAGGATTTTTCTTGAGCGATTCCCATGATTGAGAGTCATATCGCTCAACTCGTGTCTTTTCATCGAGGACACTCTCGTCCATAGATGAACTACTGAGAACTCTCTCGTTCTCAGTAAACACTGTTGCTGACCTTATGTCGGTTACACACTCGTCGTCGGCGACGAGTATGCAGATCTGCTTGACTTTGCCACTACGTAGATCACGCAAGAACCTTTTATGTTTGAGCGTTGGCAACTGAGTGATCTCCGAAGTCAACTTCGGAGGCGCAATCAGATCAATTGTATAGGCGCCTACGCTTGATCCGTTATTGACTATGACATTCAATGTATCTGTCATTTCCTGGGGACTTATTCCCTCAGGCCTCGAAGGACATTTTCCTTCGGCTTCCCGGGGACTTATTCCCTCGGGTTTCGGGGAACTTATTTCCACCGTATTTGTAATCTCGGGAATTATTCCCTTAACTTCCTCTAGCTGGGGTTGCGCAAACACAGCGAGATCCTCTACGAAAGACTCTCCAGTCGATCTAGGATTATCGTTTCGCTTAACCTGAGCGATCGATTGTTTCTCTTCTAGATGTTCCCCGCTAGGGATACATCTTTGTCCCGGTCCACTCGACTGATTCGAGTGGTGGACCTTCGGCGCAGCCTGTGTTTCCTCACAGCCGCCGGAACTTTGCTCCGAAGTGTAACTGTTTTTACACTAAGGTTTTTTGCAGTCGTACTAACGACTGTACCACAAGTGAGGCCTTCGCACTCACTCATAGTACATCCACACGCTTGTGGACGCTCCAAAACGTTCATCAGATGGCCATCTGATGAACAAGTGGCAGGCATCGTTTCTGTTCGATGTTGTCAGTTTACTCGTGGTTCGTACCTTCTGAGCCACGGTATTCCAACGAAGACATCAAATTTGTCATCCAAATCCAATACGATAAATTCATTGTCATATTGGGTATCTTCTAGCGTATAGTGGATCTTCACTATACGCTTCATGACGGTTACGGATGCGCCTGTCGAAAGACGTACCGTCATCCTCGTAGGAGGTGTGTCACATACACTGAACTTAAAGTGACCATCTGCTAGCGATTGGCGTCGCACAAAATTGTTGGACGCCCCACAATCGACTAGAGCTCGAAGGGACAACTTATTCGTCTCTTCGAGTTTCAAGGTAATGAGTGAGATCTCATTACCTAGAGCAGCAACGCACAACGTTTGTGTGTTGGGAGCAACCTTCATCAAGAGGACTGCAAATTCTCTTGACGTTGCTGGACCAGTAGGGTGCTCCGCACCTACTGATCCTGTCCCTTTTTTGACGGTCCATCCTGTTGTTGCGTCTTTGCACCAACAGCGTACCCTCTTCCCTGCCCCTTTCTCATGGGTGGACGGTCACTACGCCCAGTGTCGCGAGACACTGGACGAGGGGCACTACACTCGTAAGATCAACAGGCATGGCAAATTCAAAGTCGTGCTTGACGGGTACAAGATGTATGTGACTCTCAAGAACTCACAGCAAGTGATGGCGACAGAGGATCTCGTGGATGGACTTTACTGGATTTGTACGTGTTGAAGGTATGGCACGGAAGTGACGAGAAGACCGGAAGAGACCGGAGGGAGCGAAGAGGCTTGAGGAGCGGAGCAGAGAAGACTTGCTCGGCAGAAGGAGAATTCGAAAGTGATTGATTATCGGGGCTTACTACTTACTACATGATTTATTTGTGGAGCACATATAAATCATGAGAAGCGTCTCGTCATCCTACGCGTCTAATCAACTATGGTAATCACCGTTAGAACTACGTCGTAAATACGAAGCTGAAGAGGCGGTTCGGATTGGACCGGTCACGGTTACAAACACTGGTAGGAAACCCATAACCTGTTGAAAGGTGCGAAGATTGATGACAGAAACTGGGAAGGATGCTGAAAAGTCCACTCGGAAGACGAGAGAAGACACTTGGGCAGTAGATGGAAGACTGGAAAGTGATTGATTATCGGAGCTTATCTGCCTACGCCCTGATTTACATGCGTCCACAGATAAGTCGGTCGGCGCGTCTAATCACCACGCTATTCTAATCTTTCCTGCAAAATTACCGACGTAAAAACGATCCCATAAGAACTACACAGCGTAGTGTCCTGTCTTTTGACATCTGTTGCATCTCTGCAACCTCTTGTAGCCTGTAGAGCGAGCCTTCTCGCTCTCTACATAACAGAGTTCCATCGGCTCTGGACCTCCGTTGTCATATCGTCTCGGTTGACGATATGATGTCGAGCTGGCGCGAGCCTGTCTCAGACTGAAGTCTTCCTGCTCCGCAATTGAAATGGCTTGTTCTAGTGAATCTAGTTCAAGCCGGAACAGGTGAGTCTTGACGGGACCATCCGCAAGACCCTGCATGAACACCGAAACCAACGTGTGTTCATCAACCGAGTTGGAACTCCTAGTTCGAGCCCTGAACTCAGCTCTAGGTGGTTTCAACGTTTGTCTGAGCCGCGACTTGAAGACTTCCAACGACCCAAACGCATATGGGTCGTGCAACTTGAGCCCCAGTGCCCAAGTCTTGGCACGTCCTGCCAGATATGATTGGGCAAATGCAACTTGCATATCCCCGTCGTCGATGCGACGCGCCCTTATGGCGTCATCCAATTCGACGAAACATCTCAAAAGGGAGTCCTCTTCGACTCCCCTATACTTGGAGATGTCAATCTTCAAGGTCTCGGGTCGACGCGAGTGCATCGACCCACCAGCAGCAGCCTGCTGCTGTCTCAACAGTTCAAACTGTTGAGCACCCTGTTCTCTCAACAACTCTGCTTGTTGAGAACCTTGTTGGTGAAGCAAGGCTACTTTCTCGCGTTCTGCGTCAAGTTCATTTTGAATGAACTTGGCGATAGTAGCATGTTGGGCATCTCTATTGAGAGCCTCTAGCATGACGCTAACAGCATGGATGCCCATGGTCGAACCCATTCGTTCAACCGCATCCCATTCGACATCGCTCAAATGGGAGTAGCCGTCACGCGTAGCGTGAAAGCTTTGGTCATCTTCATCATCCAACATATTCATGTTGGATGTGAACGCGGTCCTTGGACGGACTACGAAGTGCTACCAGGTGTAACGGGGCACCCTGAAGCTTGTACTGGTGACAGTACAAGCTACTTATTCTGATGACAGAATAAGGCGGTGCCTCGTAACTTCACGTACATTCGTACGTGCAGAGGAAGACGGTAAGAAGAAGCGAGTACTTGGTTAAAGTAAAAAGTAGAACTGTATTTAGTATAGTTAATGCCTGCAATAAATCACTATTTATCTTCATCTAACTATGTCTAAATACAAATGTGTAAATCAACTATCTGCTCACCACTCATTGCGTGCGTCTGTCGTGGCGCGTCTTCGTTGGTTGATATAATGGCCTATTTCAACCAATTAGGAACTACTCGTAAGTGCTACAGAATATTTGTCCTTATGACAATATTCTGAGAATACAACTCTTATAGTTATATTCTATTAACAATTTCTTATAAATTGTTATGTAACGATTCACCCCGTTACAAAATGTCTATTTGATCGAGCGTCATTCGAAACAAGTTCGATTTATGTACTGAACCCTTTCATTATCACATATTTGAACCTGTAGCGCCTTGGGGAAAGTAAAAGCTGGCGAAAATTTCATGTCACCAGGAAAAGTCGAAATTGCACAATCCGATTTACTCATGGATTGAGAACAACAGCTATGACTGTTTAGAAGATAAACACAATCACTACACGGGTTAACACTAAGAATATGGCGTGTAGATCTTTACTGTCAGCATTTAATTGACTATGTTTTTCTTCCAGTGTCAGACGCTGCCCCCAACGTCTTAATGATGTTGCTGAAGCTTCATCTACCTGTTTTCCCCGATAAATTCAGTATTCGAGATCATTTTAGCTCCAACACACATTCTCGTTTGTGCTTTTCCGGGTGCGCTGTAGGACACGGAACGAAATTGAAATCCTGGTCTTGCCGATCAGCTTGATTTCTTTTTCCAACCGACTATGCTACCGCTTAACATTTGTCCACATCGTAACGCAATTTGTAATGAACTACAAAGCAAAACGACTATAAGATCCATTACACATGCGCTCAATTTTAATCACTTGAAATAACCATGCCCAGATTTTGCTGCTCGCAATATGAGTGCCAATCGTAGTACAGTCTATCAAAGCTGTATTGACGCAATTTCTAGGCTAGGTCCTGGACGATTGTACGAGGTTTTGGTGCTTGGGCCTGTAGGATTCGCGTACGCATGTCCAATTTCAAAAAAATTCAATGTACTTTTAAAAAAGCTTAATAATACTATCCATTCGGTTGACCACAAAGCAGAGTGAAGATACGCCCTCCTGGAATGCTACTTTACAAAGCTTGTTTGTTTGACCACAGAGCCCCTCATAGAGATTCTACTATTACTATTCGACCTGCTACTGTAACGGGTGCAGCGCACCTTACAAAAAATCAGAGCTTTAGACAGCAACAATGCTTGGGCCAAGACGCAAATCTGAGGCGAGAGCGCACTAATCTAGGATACACTGTCGCTTGAACGCATAGTTCTCTACAGCAGGAAAACGTAAATGTTACCCTAGACGTGCCGGAGTATGAACTTGTCTTCTTTTTTTTTACCATTTTGACATTTTGCTAGGTAGCACATATTCTACATTTACAAGTGTTTAGCGGCGTCAAAGTCAGATAATGTAAAAAAACATAACATCCAGGTCACCTGCTTTGCTTCAAATGCTGTAGAATCTTATTATATCGTTGTTAAGTAGGTCACCATCAACGCACTATGTTTTAAAATCATCACAAGATATCGACACTGACTTGAAAAAACTGTTCAGCAGCTGTTTATATCTCTGGGTCCAGCCATTTTCAACTCGAGTCCCGGCATAGTTTTGCGTTTTCACAGTTCGCGTCGTCGACACGTCCGCGACCCACTGGGCCAGTCATATTTTGGACCAGTGTCTTCGCTTCTATTACTGCACTTTATGGTCACACAGGTTTACAATTAGTTTCGTCTATTTCTTTACTAAGAACAACAACTAGCCTCCCCCTTCAACCTAATAGCTGCAGTGAATAAATTCACGCGATTGAATTCGTCTTTCGGGCGAGGGTAATCGAAGCACACATGTGCTCGACGGTACGCAAACAAGCTCTTAAAACTTGTCCATCCCATGCATTTCAATTCTGACCTAGCATTCCTAGCTGCAAGGAGCTACATCCTTGAAGAACTTGCTACAATGATACACCCCGGGGCTCTAATCTAACCAAAGTCTTCCCTTTTGACGATGTTGCTGCTAGCAAACGCACTTTTGGAGTTTTTCGCGTCCCGCATGCAATCAAACTCCTCATTGAGCCACATACGCTTACTCTCCAGACCTCTCAGCGTAAGTCTGCACTACGCTTTACAATGATCGATAACTACGCATAACATCACAACAAATGATAGTGCACCAATATTCCTTCCACGCTTGTACTAGGAGCGCGTCGACGATCCACGACTACATACTATGTGGAAGACACCACCACGCAGTGCCTGATTAGTTAGCCTCGAGACGACTCCGAGCAGAGCTTCGCCGGCCGATGTATAGTCAGCACTTTATTGCAAACACCGAACAAAATCTCCACGGCAGGCTGAAAATGTGGCAGTAGAAACATATTGCAAGCGAAAAAGCATGTATTTACCCCGCATACTTGCTACTTCGTCAGTTGTGTTTTTTCGCTGGTATCATGAACTACGTAAAGTCATCCTCCCTTGTCCTTCCCCGTTCTTTACCATTCAGCGATTATATATGTGATCTGTCGGTAGAACTTGTGGATTTGAATCGACCGGGACATTCAGAATTGTGACACTAAGAAGAAGCGACGTCCTTGACTCGCACAGCTAATTTAAGACGAGCCTGATTATTCGATTTAGCTGATCGTTCCATTTTGAACAGTCAGACAGTACCGCGCAGCTATCAGGATCACAAGGTCGCTCTCGAGAAAATTAGGCGACTACCAAATGTCCGTTAAATGGTTCTACGAATATTTGTCCAGTGGTTTGGTTTTTTAAGGTACGGTATTCAGCAAAGTCGCGTTTGTCGAATTGCCTGTTCTCTTGTTGGACGAGGCACACCATCCAGGATGACGATAGTATACGCATAACCGTTTCTCACATCAGAAATCATTTATAGATGTCCGAGTGTAAAGCGGTGTCACTAGTGATCCTTTTTATATTAATGATAGAGAACCGCTCATCAGCTTCCACAATTTCGTCAGGCAGCCTTTATCCACTATAATCAAAGAGATACGGTGTCAAGTTCTGGAGCTCACCCTTTGATACATAATTTTGTCCGTTGGATTATTTTAAGTTCTGCATATTCATGTACCTGGCGGGTTGGTGTCGAGGATGTGAGTTGCGGTGAGTTTTTTGTCAATGAGAGTGGTAAAGGATTGTTTGTAGTGTCGCCACTCTTCGATGTTGTTGGTATTTTAAAATAAGTCGAACATAAATAAGAGAAACGGGAATGATCCTGCTCGGCAGTGCGGATGACAACAAAGAGCGGCCTACGACATTCACCCATAGCCTGGTTATGGATGGAAAGACGGACGAGGAGGTTCATAGAATCCACGTCCGAAAGGTTCTTACACTTACGTGAGAGCAAAAGTTGTTCGCGAACTTCAAGAAGTGTATATTCGCAGCTAAAGAACTACCACTTCTTGGCTGCATCGTGGGTAAAAATGGCGTACGCCCTGATCCAGAAAAGATCAATGCGATTAGCAACTGGCCTGTGCCAGTTGGCTTCAAGGGACTTCGAAAGTTTCTTGACTTGCAGCGTACTTGCACAAGTACTCGTGCAACTACGCCGAGATGACCGTACATCTCTCTTGTTTGTTTAAGAAAAATGAGAGGCGTTTATGGAGTGCTCAGTGTCAGCACTCCTTTGAAGTTTCTAAGAAAAGCTTGATACAATCGCCTGTGTTGGCGATAACAGACCAGGACAGACCATTCCATGTGGTCAGTGACGCCAGCGATTTCGAAATAGGCTACGTGTTAATGCAGTACAACCCATACGGCGTTGAGCGCGTCGTCTGTTACCAATCGCGTCAGGTGCAAGCAGCTGAGCGTAATTACCCAGTGCATGGTAAGGAACGCCTTACCATGAAATATACACTGGCTAAGTTTCGGGTGTATCTCTTAGGAGATAGGCCCTTCATCGTTTATACCGACCATGCGTCATTACGCACGGCCGTAAACAGTCCACACCTCTCACAACGAATGTCGATGTGGCTGTCTTTCCTCGCGTAGTACAACTTCTCCGTCGAGTGTAAACTAGGACGACGTAATATCGTCGCTGATGCTCGCTCGCGTCGGCTCGATTTTGAGCCGACTGCTCAACCCAACAGTCTGGGTGATCCTACTGTTTCAACACTAACAGTGAGTGTTCCGTCGTCGAGTCTGCTCGACGACGTGCGGAAAGCATTCAAAGAAGATGAGTCTCTTACGGGGTTAGTGGATAATGCAGCCAATCCATGCAGTCAATCTTTGAAAAGCTTGACGTCTCAGTATGGATTTTTAATCGAACGGTATTTGGTTGGATATGGACTGTCGTACTATACAGCAGTCAACGGCGATACACCTCGTGTTGTCGTTCCCGCTCATGATGATTTGCGATTGCACATCATGTATGAGTGTTACGATGCCCCAACAAGTGGGCATCGCGGTAGAGAAAAGACTTACCTCGCGTTAAGTCGTGACTTCTACTGGCCTCGCCAGTATGAGTTTCTGCGCAATTGCATTCGTGCTTGCAAAGTTTGTCAACGGGTGAAGCCTAGTCCTTCATACCGTGCACCCTTGTAGCCTCTACCGATTCCAGCAGAATGCTGGCAGTCCGTATCGATGGACTTCGTCTCTGGGTTTCCTAAAGACGTTCACAAGAATACTGGCATTCTTGTGTTTGTTGATCGGTTCAGTAAGATGGCACATCTTGTTGCTGTACCGGAGTCAATCACAGCCCAAGGATCTGCTCGTGTCTTCATCGATACTATCTTC